CCTTTATATGTCGGGTAGGAGATCTCACTCTTGGAGGGAATGCGTTCGTCCATCCCTGTTATTTCTACCTCTGTTAAGTTGGCTCCTTCTGGCTGCTCTGGGGCAAGTACGGCTCTTTCCCCCTTACCCTGCACTAAGGATAGCTCCCTCGGTTGGTGCCTTAGCTGGTTCATTTCTTGTATGTGGCAATCCTGCCACTGGTCTCATCTCAGGTCCCCATATTTCAGGGTAGCAGACAGAGCCTCCCTTTGTAAGGCCTCCAATTTCTCTTTTATGGGGCTCTCTTCTCCAAGACTCCTCCCTAGCTGTCCTAGCCCAGCTTCTTTTCTAGGGCCCCCTGGATGCTTGACCCTGGGAAGTACCTTCGACTTCAGGTACTGCATGAGTCTAGGCCGGGTATTTGCTACTTGTACCTCCACTTGCCTCAAGGATTCTATAAGTACCTCCCTCTCCAGAAATTCTGATTTAGCAGCTCTCATGTACCCCGCTAACTGGGTTTCAAGAACCTCCAGCCTTTTCCTTAGTGTGTCAGCGTTCTTCATGGCCTGCAGTTCTTGTCCTGCTGTTACCTTCTCTTCTGACTCTTCCACTCGCCTGAACTCTTGGATTTTTACGGCTATCTGGTCATTTGCCTCTTGGAGCCTCTTATTATCAGCCTCCAACCCCTGAATCTCTTCCCTCATGGTTTGTATTTCCACCTGTAGCTGTCCTTTTTCTGCCTCTATATTAGCCTCTTTGGCCTGGCTCTCTCTTAAGAGGGTTTTGAGTGACTGGACCTGTTCTCCCAGGCGTTTTCTTCCTGTCTCCAGTCCCTGTACCTGAGCCCTCAGTCTCTTTCTTCCTATTCTCTTGCTCCCCTTCAAGGGTCCGGTATTGATCGCGCAGCACCTCATAGTCCCTTATACAAGCTTTTACTGTTTCCATATCTCGCGCGATCACCTTATTTTCTTCAGCTTGGGTACGGCTTTCGCTCAGATCTTCTTGCAGCTGGTTGACCAAATGTTCGGCCTCCAACACCTCTCCTGCCACCTGTCTAGGTCCTCATGTAGACCTTCTGTTTGGTCCGCCTGACCGCGGACTTCCTTTTGTAAAACTTCTATTAGTCCTCTAGCCACTTCCAGCTTCTGCTGTTCCCCTGCTCAAGTTGTGCAGACCTCAAGAGACTGTGCCATCCAGGCTGCTATCTCCATCTGCATCTTCTGCAGCTTCTCTTCTCTCTCCTGACTCTTCTGAGCCTCTTGGGAAATCAGCTGTTCTATTCTTCTAGTTTTCTCTGCCTCCGCTGCCACTAGGCACCTGATTTCTTTCACTCCTCCCTCTTTCTTACCCAATGGTACCTGTCGCTCTAATACTGCTGCTTTTGCCTCAGCCCTCTCTCTCTGGGCCTTTGCTAGTCCTAGCTCCCACTCTAATTGGGCCACCTTTTCCCTACATCTCTTCCATTCTCAGTTGCCAGGCAAAGTTTTCCTGTCCCTGGCCTTCCATAACCCCTTCCTGAGCCATGACTACCTTGACCTTGTCTTCCTGGTTCAGAGCCTCAGTCTTGCTACAGAATTCCGGGCAATGGGTATCCTTACTCAGCTCCAACTAGTGAGCTGTGGTAAACCTGTCTCTTACGCAACCGTCCATATCTTTATACTAGCCCTTAGGTTCGTTTTCACTCTTCAGGGACACAAGTTCTCTCTCGTGCACGGCCAGATTTCCCAGCCAATACACCACTTGTCACAGGGCAGGATCCTAAGAACGGCCGTGATCTCTCCTAGCACCTCCCCTACCGTGCCAAGTAGGTGTCAATGCACCCTCGATCTCACCCACCATGTCTTTGATGATAAGATTATTAAGGGAAGCTGCCTTTTTATCCTCCTTGACATGGTACCCCGACGTACTCCAACCTGTGCCCAGTCTACGGTGACTGTGCGCTCCCGCCTCAAGGGCTACGCGTGGCTCCTATCTCCCCTGTAGGGAGATAGCTAGCACCACATCCTAAAGGGACCTGGGGGTCATAACTGACCATAAAATGAATATGAGCCACCAGTGTAATGCTACAGTTAACAGAGCAAACAATACGCTGGCATGCATCAACTGATGAATCTCAAGCAAAACTAGGAAAGTTATTCTCCCGCTCTAGCATTGGTGAGGCCACAGCTGGAGTACTGCATCCAGTTCTGGACACCACATTTCAAGAAGGATGGGGAGAAGCTTGAGAGAGTCCAGAGAAGAGCCACTTTTATGATTAGAGGCCCGAACAGCAAGCAATACAAGGAAAGGCTGACAGATATGGGACTGTTCAGCCTAGAAAAGAGAAGACTTTGGGGGGATTTGGTGGCAGCTTACAAATGTATCATGGGAGAGCATCAGGGACTAGGCGAACAACTATTCAATGAAGTGCTCCAGGGGAAAACCAGGAGCAACAGTCATAAACTCCTAGAAGGAGGTTTCAGGCTGGATATGAGGAAAAACTTCTCTATGGTTTGTGAGATCAGACTCTGGAATAGACTCCCAGCAGGGCTGGTGCAGGCACCTACCCTGGAGATCTTCAAAAGGAGACTGGATGCACATCTTGCTGGGGTTATTCGATCCCAGCAATCTTTCCTGCCCAGAGCAGGGTGGCTGGACCTGATGATCCAGCCCTAAACTTCTGTGAATCTGTGAATAAAGAGAGTCTTGCACCAATGCAATTTACTCTGTCGAATTACTGGATTAAGCTGCACTTATATCAGATTCATCTTGCATTAGTACAGTATGTCTTCATTAGGGATTTGTTGTACAATGTAGCCATGGATGTGAATTTCTATAAATGTAGACAAAACCTCAGTTTTTATATGAAAGTCGTGGGGTTTTGGGGAGGAAGTTCTATTTTTGTTTTTCTGTTTTATTTGTTGCTACCAGAAGGTCTACAAACGTTTATTATTCTTATAATAAACGTTTAATAATAATAGTAATAATAATAATGACAACTTAGATTCTGGAGAATCTTCATATTTCACATGGGCCACAGCAGTGCTTCAAATATACCATTTTTTATCTCCCTGTTTTAATACCAAGATTTAAACAAGATTCCTTAGCAAATGCTTAACCTTGCAATAGAACAGAATCTCCTGGAGTTCATGGCTACTGACCTCTGTCACGCGGGCGAAGGAAACATTCTGTAATTCCTGTTCATGTGTGAATGGCGCCACAAAATTCAAGTTAGTCTTCTTACAATGTAAGACTGTCAGACTGCCAGGACCTGACCTGCCAGTAGCAGGAGTATTTTCTTTTGTGCCCTCGACACTCTACTTAAATATTTAATTTACGTATTTGAATACCAGTAATAGAGTATCCTAGGGTTAAATCAAGGAAGGGAAAATGGCATAATTGAAGGGTAAAAGTTACCTTTTCTGAGCATTGGAGTAGTTTATAGGAATAGCTGGACTTATACACGTAGACATCTTCTGGATGTAGGGGCCAACCTTTTTGGCAGGCATGCCACAAATCAAGCCTAGGCCCTCCTTGAGTGCCATTCTGAACCCCTCCCCCTGCCCGACTGGCAGTTTTGTTCCCTGCTCTGTCTCTTATCGTGCTGCCTGATTCCTCCCTGATTTTGCCACGTGTCACACTGAAGCTGCCTGTGCTATTTGTGGCATGCACGCCACAGGTTGGGTACTTCTGGACTAGAAATTTCTGTGGGACCTACCATGAAAAAAAATCCACAATCACTTCAAATTCCAGAAACGTGGAAGGGGAAAATTAGGATAAACTGATTTGAACATATATAAAAAGCAGAATTAAGATGTGCCAGACCAGCTCAGACTGTTTGTCTCTCAAGACAAGTGTTCTGCCTTCAGCGGTTGCTAATTATGTAGTATTTCAGGGATGTGAGACTGCCTTGTAAGGCTGACTGTCAGTTTGGCAGCACTGTGTACTCTGAAAAGTTAGTTTTGTATTTTCAGGTTTTAGGTGGTTAAAATAGGATGAAGTATATGGGAAAATCTGTCACTGCATTCTAGTCAGTGATGAGGGAAGCGGGAGGGATGGGCTGCCCTTTGTTTTCAGGAAGGGGAGCACCACTCTTTTCCACTTTCACAGGCAGGCAGAGAAGTGTGCGGTGCAGGATGGCGCGTGGGCTCGGGGGACAAGGGTGTGAAAGGCAGAAGGCAGGGGCCTGCTGCTTGTGCCCAGGGCAGCACCCGTGCTGAATACCCAGGCACCACTGCAAATCGACAGCAGTGGAAGGGGACTGCCCGGTGCCACGTTACCATGATGTCACCATGACATCAGCCACAGAGGGATGAATGACATCAGGTACAAATGCTGCCCGGAAGGTGTGATGTCATGAGGCAAAATGCCCCATGACCCACTGGAGCCCTGATGCCATGTGACAATCCCAGCACTGGGATGTCACCCACTTAGGGAACAGCAGCCGCCAGCACCGCACTCGCGACCTGTGCCAGCCCTGCGCCCCCAGCGGACACCCAGCGGGGGGGGGGCCCGCACCAATGTGATGACAGCTGGGGGGAGGGGTTGCGCTCTCACTCCGTGCATGCGTACTGCTTCACCGGAGCGAGCGGCGCCCACGGATACGATCCAGTCCAGCCTGGCCCCTGCCACTTCCTCGTACTTCGGCCCGGATCCGGCACGGCCATGGGGAGCCAATTGGAGGCCCTAGAGTGCCCAGCAGGCGCCAATTAGGAGCGGCGTGTCTGCGGGATGGCAGCTGCGCGGCCAGTGGGGGGGAGGGGAGTTCGGAGACGGCCTGCCTCAGCCAATCGTTCGGGACTGAAGGGGCGGGGCACTGAAGGGGGTGATGAACAGCCAATCGAAAGCAAGAGAACGTGCTAGCCTCAGCCGAGGTAAAGTGCCGTTTGTATTTAGGAAATTGGTGAGGAACCAATGGGAGGCAGAAGGAAAAAAGGGTCGCTCCAGCCAACCGGGCGTGGCCGCGCGGCGGAGCGGGTCGGCCTCCCGGCGGCAGGGGGCGCGCGCCTAGCGGCTGCGCCACGGCGGCGTTGCTGCTGCTGTTGCGGGAGCAGCGGAGACACCGCCGCTGTCGCGCCCACGGCTCCGAGCCTCCGCCCTCCCGCTCGGCCGCCGGCTCTAACGGGCAGGTACCGCGGGGGCTGAGTCGGGCCGGGCGCGTCCCCGCGGATCTGTGTGTCCGTCTGTTCGTCCCGCGGGGTCCGGCTTGGGGCCGGGCCCGTCCTGCCGCGGGGGG